TGGTGGAATAGGGCCTGCAGGCCAGAGCAAGCCCATTCTGCCACATATGCACATTTAAAGAATCCTGATTTCTGGACCTCCTCCCAAATTAGGAGGCTGTGTACCTCCTCACTTCTGTCACACTACCCTTTCACTATCCTCTTTACTCATAGAGTTTCTCTTCCTTCCTTCCCTCAACCAGAGTGAGGACTCCTTCTTACAGCTGCTGTAGAGCTGTCTCCGGTGCTTTGGCCTGGGACCAGAAATGAAAGTAGAACTGGGCACACACAGCTGTTTTAGTACTGCCACATTGATGGCAGCAGCGTAATGGAAGCTGCTTGTGTATCCCTCATTTTTTACATGCTAATTAAGTCCCCATTAGAGATGTGAAGGCCCGGGAAAAAAACCGGAAAAATTTGGAGAAAAAAGGTTTTTTGTTTTGTGAAGAAAAATTGGAAAAATTGAAAAGAGAAAAGGGAAAAAAATGATTATGGAACGTTTTATTTTAACATGATGAATAAAATATTTTAAGACAAGGTGTTCAAATATTTTCCAAATCATTTCTAAAAAATATGTATGGTATCAGATTGATCTAATTTCTGTGCACTGAGGACAAGCAAGTCCTAGGTTACAAACTGAACTCTCCAGTGCAAGAACAAGATGCATTCTTCCTTTAGGAGCTTTTGGGTAGTCATCTTAAGGGGTAGCTCCATGTAGAGCACACTGAAATATTCAGTCTCAAGAGAGTTAGCAAGAAAACATGAATGACTTTCATGGCAGGCTTCAGGTGTCATTAACCAAAAGTTTCCTGACCAAGCTCTACCCTCTGTGTAACCAGATGAGAAAGGTAGCTTATCCTCTAATCATTAAATCACCAACATCAATCTATCACTGACAGAACAATTTTTTCACTTAAAATTATAATATAGTAAAGCCAGGGGAGAAAGGTGGTAAATGAGAAGGGGGGAAGGGGAGGGAGAAAGGGAGGGGGAGCAACAAGGAAATCGAGAAAAGGGGGGAAAGCAGCATCTTAGCCTTTGTTTCCCGGTATGCTGATTCATCTAAGGTCTTCGGGGGGGGGGGACACACCAATGTTTTCATGTTGTTTTTCATTCTGGGAAATTTCACGTGTCCACATAGGAGAAAATATAAGAGAGAAAAGTAAATAAATCTTTTCTTTCTGATGAGCCAACTGTCTGGCGAAGCTGAGTTTTTAAAATCCCTGCTACATGTCATAGCCTTCAAACTCTGCTGGAAGACTGCCAGTCTTTTCAATTACGATCACAGTTCTGGGAGTCCGAAAATATCCAAAATATCACAGTTCTGGGAGTCCAAAAGATTGCAAAGATTACTGAGTCCGGATTGATTTAGGGAAAAAAGGAAAAGAAAGAAAACAGTTGGAGTCGGCTGACCTTATCAGCAAAGAGCCCTCCTTATCTCAACAGCACTCAGGGTTTCCAGAACCCAGGTGGAACCTTGACTTATCAAAGCCCCTCCCATGGGTTCACCTGTCATTTGGGTCTCCCCTGTGGGAGAGAGGTAAGAATACAGAAGTAAATTCCCTCCTTTCCTGGCGTTGTTCGCCCCTCAAAGGACTGGAGCTTTTGAAGGTGCCCCTTATCAGGTCGCCATGTTCCCCGGAAGCCTGACCTTGTGTGGTTTTCAAGGCAAGAGAAAAACTGAGGTGGTTTGCCATTGCCTGCCCCTGCATAGCAACTCTAAACTTCCTCAGTGAGCTTCCGTGCAAGTACTAGCCAAGCCTGCTTAGCTACCGAGATCTGACAAGAGCATGCTGGCCTAGGCCGTCCAGGATAGAGCAATGCATTCATTAGCCGTAGATAATTTATTTTCTTTTATTCAAATATTTATACCCCACCTATCCTCTTGGCTCAAGAGATCACACACGACCACACCACAGTTTGAACCCACAGTCAGAAGTGAATTTGCAGACTGTGATCTGCTGTTAAGCACCGTTAGGAAAAGCGTGTGAAAACGTCCTGTTGTTAACTCAGGAAAAGTACAAGTACAAATATTGTGTTCACCATCGTTCTCTCTGGAACAGAAAGCAATGGGAATACCTGCACAAGAGGAAGGCGCGCATGCTAGTTGGGCCTATGCTTTGGCAGTTGGGCAACATGATGTCTGCAGATATTTTGGGACATTTCATACAGCAAATAACAGGGTAGGGGTTTGCAAAGGCTGCATTCAGCAGACCCCCATTTCTGCTGGTCCTCCAAAGTTGCCTGCCCACTCAGCTATATTTAGTTCTTTAGAATCTTATTTTTTGTACTCCCATCTGTTTTTACTCCTGCCAATTTCTGTGCAGCTGTATATATTTTTTTTGTGTATTGTGGCTACTTTCCCAGCGTATTGGCAATTGACGCACTAAAGGGGATTTTACAAATTCTCCAAAATATGAAATATTTTCCCACAGTAGCAACACCACATTAATGTCTCTCTGAAATCACATCTACTCACAGAATTAAACGGTGCACCTGCATGGGTATTACTGATTCACAGCACTCTGGCCCAGCAATGAATAACACGCTCCGGTTGCTTTGATTTGCAGCCCACATTTGCTTCTGGTAACTTTACAATTAGGAGCTTAAAAATGTGAAAATTGCAGCAAGTTTCTCCCTAAACACATAGGTAGAATTGTTTTGACTAGTATTTTATTTGGTGAACTGGGCTGCTGTGTGCAGTACCTCAAGAATTAGTGGCAATCCGAAACGTGTAGATGGGATAAAGTGATACCGCTTGGGGGGGAGGGAAACGACATAAATACTAGTTAATATACTAAGTACAGCAGAATCTTTCAGGACTATTTTCAAATGGTGGGAATGAGGAACACTGTGGGTATAATGGGAAGGTTGGGAGTTCCAGGGCTGGGGAGTGAGACAAAGGGGAGTTAATTTCTCTGTGAAACTTTGTTTATAGTTCTGTTCTTTTTCTGAATAACTCTGGTAATGTAATTGTGAGTCTCCAGAAGTGTGCCTGTGTGGGACAGTTTCTCTGCATAGTCATCCAAATCCATTTCAAGCAATCCGAACATAAATCTCACTGTTAAATGCACCGTGGCCTGTGTTGAGAATAAGCTTTGGTTCATACATTACAGAATCAAAATGTGAACCTGAATACTGTTTCAGGGACCACAGGCTAATCACTCTCAGCCTTACCTACCTCTCGGGATTGTTGTGAGAACAAAATGGAGGTGGGAAAGGTGATGCTGTAAGCCAGGTGATGCTTTTAAAGCGAGAGAAAATGGGGGTACAAATGTCTTAAATAAAGGTACTGTTTGGAAAGAGCACATAGCTGCTGGGTGAGCTGAAAAAGCAGCAGAAAGCCAGCCTTTTAAAGAGATCCTTTCTGTTTTCTGTGTCAGAGAAGAGGGGTGCTCTGATGAGTGTTGTGCTCCAAAGGGGAGACAGCATCAAGGGTTGACTTAAGGGTGGGAGACAAGAGGGCTGTTGGAAGGTGTCAGCAGCAGTGCGTCCTCTCAAGTTGACCCACCTTCTTAAATTGATCAGTCAGCTCTCACATCTTGATGGTATGGCAGACTGAATACTCCTTGAGCCCACCTCAGACAGGTATTGCATGGGTCATAGGGGAAATCTGCTCTCACATCTTGATGGTATGGCAGACTGGATACTCCTTGAGCCCACCTCAGACTGGTATTGCATGGGTCATAGGGGAAAACTTGGTTTTAACCATATCTAGGATGGGAATGTTCATCAACAACCATCTGACAAACGAGAGCTCTGTGGCAAAAGCTAGACTAGGTTTATTCTGGAACTGTACTCAGGAAGAAGGTAATAAAGTGATCCCCAGTATTGTGCTTATGGGTACCATGGCACTCACCAATGTGTTTCCTGGCACCCACTTATTTCTTCCTCAGGGAAATACCTTCCCCAAAGCAAAAAGGCAATCCTGGTCTTCTTCTATCACACTGGAGCAGGAGGTGCATCAGAGGGGCAGAGGAGTCTACTGGGAGCACTCGTTCAGAAACAGCTGTCTCCACTGAAGGAGGACACTTAATTAAGATCCTCCCAATATTTTGTGATTCCCCTCCCCGTGGTACCCTTTTATAGTGGTGCCTGGTGAAGGTTCTCAAAATTCCAGTAGGGTCCACAGGCTTGCCAAGGTTTGTAACAGCTGTCTTAATACATGAACAGAGTCTTGGATGTCTTAAAGCAGCAAATTAAACTATTTTTAATATAGAGAGCCAGCACGGTGTAGTGCTTAAGAGTGGCGGACCGTCATCTGGAGAACCGGGTTTGATTCCCCACTCCTCCATATGAAGTCTTTGGGTCACCTTGGGCCAGTCACAGTTCTCTCAGAATTCTCTCAGCCCTACCTGCCTCACAAATTGCCTGTTGTAGGGAGAGGAAGGGAATGCAATTGTAAGCCACTATGAGACTCCTTCAGGTAGAGAAAAGTGGGGTATAAAAACCTACTCGTCTTCTTCTTGAGAGTCAGTTTGGTGTAGTGGTTAAGTGCGTGGACTCTAATCTGGGAGAACCGGGTTTGATTCCCCACTCTTCCACTTGCACCTGGCTGGATGACCTTGGGCAAGCTGTAGTTCTGACAAGAGCTGTCCTTGAAAAAGAGCAGTTTCGGTCAGAGCTCTCTCAGCCCCACCTACCTCACAGGGTGTCTGTTGTGGGGAGGGGAAGGGAAAGGACTTTGTAAGCCGCTCTGAGACTCCCTTGGGCAGTGAAGGGCGGGGTATAAATTCAATCTCCTCCTCCTCCTCCTCTTCTTCATGTTGATGGCAAGAAATTGAATGGCTTGTGAATAGTGAATAACATAGAACATTGTATGAAATATCATTAGCTAAGATCATTCATTCTCTTCCCCTTCCTTTTTTTACTTCACTGAGAAGTTCATTATTTAGTCGATTCCTTCCTCACAGGAATTTCATTCATTGTTGTTGAGCATTTGTCTTCTGCTATTTTAATAAATGAATTTAAGCAGTTGGGCCATCTTATTGCATGACACTTACCAATTTTGCTCTCTTGTAGACTATAGAGTCTAACTGGCGATGTGGAAGGCATAACTTGCAAAGAATTCAGTGCCGATCTGAAAACAGCAAAGGGGTTTACTGCCTACAGTATGACGATGAGAAGATCATCAGTGGCCTTCGAGACAACTCCATTAAGGTAAAGGACTTTCTTGTCCCTCTACTTTGCCTGGAAGGCAAACCACCAATACTCACGCTGGCTTTGGGCTGGCTGCACTTTCCAAGGGATTTTCCTGTCTTGTTTTTCCTCTGAGGAGAATTCTCATCTGTCACTGTGTGGCAGCAGAACACTTGCAGCAGAGGAGCACTCACGGTCTTTCAAGGCACCTGGAATCCAAAATCCTGGCGGTTGAACCTGAGTTATTTTGTGCTCTTATCAGAATTTTGAAAACAAGTGATAGAGAAATTGATATAATTTAAAAGCTGTCATATACTGTTTATACTCCAAAAATATTGTGTATACTCCAAAAACCACATTTGCTTAATTTGTACCCTTCTAGTTGGGGGACAAAGCTAAAAAGGGGGAGATCGGGCCTAGGAGATGTTACAGAGCAGCAGTCATTTTGTTTCACATCAGTTTTACCCCTTCCCACCCAGTCAAGTTTCTTTCCCCCAGACAAGCACAGGTACGCATGTTCTTGCTCTTTTAAAAAGATTTAAGGTACAAAAACAAACAAAACAATGGGGTCAGTTCAGATGTTTAGGTTTGTTTTATCTAACCCATGCCATCACACTGACTGTGATTTGGGTGCAGTAAAGGATTTGAATGTCTCAAATTGGGATCTGAAGCCAGGATTCTATTGAGAGGTAGTAGACCTCTGAATAGGGATGGGCACAAACCAGGAAAGTAGAGGTTCATGATTCGTGGAGTCTCACGAACCACAAACCTTCTCAGTTAATGAACCAGTTTGTGCTTCCTGAAGTTCCCTCCCTCCTTTCTGCTGGCAGCGGCTCCCCAAGGACAGCAGAATGGGGGGGTGGGGATAGACTGTTCCTTTTAAATGGCTTGCATCTATTTCAACTAAACGGATGCAAGCCATTTCAGCAATCCCTTTCGCTCCCCTTTTCTAAGCAGGGGAGAGAGGGATCTCTGAAATAGCTTTGCAAGCGGCGAGTTCACCAAGTAAGAGGGATCACTGAAGTCCAAGCACCGAATTCACCAGCCGGGGTGGGTGGTGGGTGGGGAGCAAAACGAATTGCTGAAAAAGCTTGCTTCTATTTCAGCCTAAGCTGAAGGGTATGCAAGCCATTTCAAAATCACTTGGAGGATCATGGATAGGGATGGGCACAGTTTGCAAACCACAAACTGGCAATGTTCATCATAGGTTCATGTCAAGGTTTGTGCCCTTCTAGAGATGTAAAATTTCCAGAAATTTTGAGGCTCAGAAAAAAACCCAGTTTTTTCTGGTTTCTTTCGGGGGGAAATGGAAATTTTCGGGAAAATTGAAAAAATGCTACATTAGCACTTCTTTTTTCTTTTCCAGATTGAAAGTCATTCTGCTACTTTAGGAACATAAAATATGACTATGGATAATTTTACTTGGCATGAAATTATCACAACTAGCATATTAAAAATATAGTGTACACAAACAGTTATTACAAACAGAATTTAATTTTTAAATAATATTTATTTGTAATTGTAACAAATGGAGCAACAATCTCCTGAACTGTTTACTAGTTTATCTGGAACAGACAAAAAACCCTCCACAAAACAATTTTTAAAAATCCAGAAGTAACAGTTATTCATATTTTTAGATTAATCTGATACCATACATATTTTTTAGAAATGATTTGGAAAATATTTGAACACCTTGTCTTAAAGTATGTTATTCATCATGTTAAAATAAAACGTTCCATAATCATTTTTTTTCTTTTCTTTTTCTTCAATTTTTCGGGGGAAAACAAAAAAGGCTTCAGGAAAAAAAGTGGGGGGAAACTGGTCCCCCCCCCCCCGAATTTTTCCAGGCCTTCACATCACTATGCCCTTCCTCACGTTGTAAACCCAGTGCTAGGAGGCAACATCAAGGGAAGGCCCTGGCCTTTCTGCCCTGTTTGTTGGCCTCCCAGTGCAACTGGTGGGGCCACTGTGTAATACCGGATGCTGAACTAGATGGACCGGCCTGATCCAGCAGGGCCAGCCTTATGATCTGAAGCTGATTTATTAACCACAGTTAGTCTTAACCAGTGTTCCCTCTAAGCTGAGTTAGTGTGAGCTAGCTCACAGTTTTTTAGCCTCCAGCTCAGAGATTTTTGTCTTAGCTCAGGAAGGAGGGCTCCAGAGCAAACTAATTGATGCAGGAGCCAAATCGCTGGCTCACAACTTTAATGCCAGTAGCCCACAAAGTAGAACTTTTGCTCACTCGACCCCACAGCTTACAGGGAACATTGGTCTTAACTGTGGTTTCAGATAACATACAAACGTGGCGTCCTGGCTTAAGCCTGGTTTCTTTTCCTGCCACCACTTCATGTCTGCCCTCCCTTCAGAGATGCCCGGGAAGAGCAGCTCAGAAAGGACATGGCCCTTTGTGCCTTCTTCCTGCGGCATGCCAGCACCAGGCTTGTTCCCCACCTTCCACTCAGAATCTGCCTTGCAGTATCTGACAAAGGGAGCTCTGACTCTCAAAAAGCTTATACCTCAAAGGTCTTCTTGGTGCCTAAGGTGCTCCTGGACGTGAATCTAGCTCTTTTCTCCCAATAGACTTCTCACTCCACCCCAGAGAAGTTTCCCGGTGGGAGCTTTCCCTCTCTTGTTTTTCAGTGGTAAGTGAATTGGTGATGAAAGGCTCTGCTATCAGTCGGGTGCTACATGGCAGGAAGGATAGCAGAAGGATGGGGGAAGTGAGGCATCAAGGGATGACACCGCAGTCAGGATTTGCACCGATTAGGCAGGATTCGCTTGACCCTCTGCAGACTAATTCCTGATTTCAGCAAATAGCCACCGTTGAAATAAGCCATGGTCCTGCATGACATCTCAACCGACCCAGTGAAGCCAACTCTCCTGGAAGAAGGGACTTGAGGGGCTCATAGCTTCATTGGCTGAGAGAAAGAAATTGACTCTGCATTTAACTCACTCACCCGGGACTTGTGTTTGGCAGGTTTGGGACAAAACAGGACTGGAATGTTTGAAAGTATTAACAGGGCACACTGGCTCTGTTCTCTGCCTGCAGTACGATGAAAGAGTCATTGTAACTGGATCTTCGGATTCCACTGTGAGGTAAGTGGTTGAGTCGCTTCAGGTTTGGGAAGAAGCAGGCTGAGGCAGTTGAGATGCCCATAAAAAAGATTATCTGGGTAGTGGTGGCTGATACCCAGTTGGGTATGGAGCAGAGGTCCATCAGTGGCTATTAGCCACAAGGTATAGATAGGGACTCTGGGGAAGTGATACTCTGTCATCTTGGTGCTTGGGGGGGGGGGTCAACAGTGGGATGGCTTCTAATGTCCTGGCCCCACTGGTGGACCTCCTGATGGCACTGGTATTTCTGGCCACTGTGTGATACAGAGTGTTGGACTGGATGGGCCTTTGGCCTGATCCAACACTGGCATCTCTTATGTTCTTATGGTCGTGGCAGTCAGTGGTAGTTGGAGCCAGAGACAACGGTAGGTGGAGCCAGTAGTTCTGGTTTTGTTCAGTTATGTCCGATTTTGTGCAGTGATACGAAAAACATTTCAGCACAGCAGTACAGTTCCTTAACATTTATCTGATCCCTATCAAAGTGCCAGCCTCATGCAACCCTCCCCTCTTGCGACCATTGGGAACAAAAGTAGGCATGCCTAATGCAGGGAAGAAATCTTGCCGTGTGCCTCCCACTGTTCAGCACACTAATCAGAAGAGTAAGGTTTGTAGGACAAAGGAGAAAATGAGTACTGTTGCGTGTCTCAATCTGATCCAAAACTTTCCAGGCCCATAGCTCAAGAACACATTCTACATGCTGTGAAGTAACGCGCAGCAAGGAAGCCTGTGGCCACGTGGAGAAGGCAGAAGGCATTAACTCACGACTGGGTAACCGACTGCCTACAGCCAGCCCCAACCGGATGAAGGGGTTCTGGTCCCAGAAAGGAGGCTTTCAAGAGCCTCACCCCCTTTGCCTTTCAGGAGTTAACATTTTTCAGATACTCTGTTAACAAAATTATTGAGGGCATGTGGTCAGCACTTTTAATTTATCACTAATGGTGTAATTCTTTGCATATTTAATCAGATACAAGTCCTTGTAATATTCAGTAGGATTCCCTCTCAAGTAAACTTGTATAGGATTGTAGACTGAAGAAAGTTTGGTGTTCCCTAGGCAAGAAAAACAAGGCTTTGGGGGGGGGGGGTGTTTTCCAGCTTTCAATTCAAGAACTGAGTTACTGAAGCAGTGAGTTTCCATCACCTTTCAACTTCTTAGAGCCTAGGAAGAGGCTGGAACAGAATTCCCCACACACACACACACACTGAGAGACGGAGCTGTCGCAGCATCAAGATTTCATTGTGAGATGCATGCCTGAATCCTGTTCTCCAGGCTTGCCCCTTACTCACAACAACAAAAGTCTCTACAGGTGGTGAGGGGGATGTCCAGAGTGAAACAGATAAGTGTTTTTAAAAAAAAATCACCTGGGATCCTGATTCTGAAAGTGTATGTGTGTGTGGTTTAAAGAGGCAGACAAGACAGTACACTAGTTAAGTTAGGCTTTGGTAGCCATAAAATTTCTCCTTCAGATACTATCACTGGTTGGGCATTATTTTCTTTTCCTCTCTCTTCCCTTGGGGGGGAAGAAGGTTAACAGGCCTTGTTAATAACCGGTCAGGGCTCAGAGGGGAGCCATAAGGTCAGCTAGTGGACTGATGCAGGTGGACTGGTTTAAAGGGGGAGGGGGAAGCCCTCTGTCTCTCTAGGACAAGGCTTGCTTGCCTTTGCCGTGGCATTAAACAAGACAGAATGGCCCTGTTGCCGGAAGTCTGCCACCCCTTGGACATCTGGGAAGGACAGTAAGAAGGCAGACAGGAGAGTGCTGGGGAGCTACGTTGGTGGGGCACTGCCCCCTTTGCCTTAATGGACCAGCCTCCGCTGTATGTAGGTGAAGAGAAAGAAGAGTTTTGAATCTAGAACGGCATTTTCTCTAACCTCTGTCCAAGTAGGACGCCTTCTGCCTCGGTCTGCTAAGTACCAACTTTTTTTGCTAAACTTGCGTTTAGTTAGTTTCTCTTTCTTTATTTTGTAGTAAGCATTTTTCTTTCGGTGTTTATTCTTTATTTTCGTTCCCCTCCCGCTGGCCTATGGCCCCGCGGTGGGGTTGTTTCAAACGGTGTAGGACTTGCGGCCTTAAAATATCCCCCACCGACGGGCACTCGCTTTGCCTCGTTTGTTTAGGGGAGTCGCACTGTGTCTCTAAGTGCAGACATTGCCGAAAGTTTTCGAACCAGACGAGAAAAAACAGAGCAGCTCGTCTACACTTGGCCCTGATGGAGAAGGCATTATCTCCACAGTCCTCTTCGCCGTTAGACACGTCCGGGCACGCCTCGATGTCTACCTTGGCTGCGGACACTTGTCCTCCCGTTCCGGGATCATCGACGTCGACGGTCGCAATCGATGCTTCGGCACCGAAAAGATCGACGCCGATAAAGGACCACCCCGTACCTTCCAAGATCCGGAAGCAGGGCAAAGACTCACAGCAGTCGAAGAAACCTAAAACGGACAAACCCAAAGTCCATAAGGTTTCAGCTAGTCAGGGTCGAGATCCCACGCAAGAACCTCACCCGATCGGTTCGGATCTCGACATCGACCTTACTCAACAGACAAATCAGTCGCAATCTGATATGTCGAGCCGTCAATCCTCTCATGCCTCCCCAGAACGTGGAGTCGAGGATCGGCACCGACCAACATCTCCTCCCTTGACTTGGGATGAGAGGCAATGGCATTATTTGTACGGGAATCGATACCCATACCCTTGGGCACTCCCGATACCACCCCCACCTGAATGGGATCGTCAGTCGGTGTCATCCCGCATTTCGCGCTTTCAAGATCGACCATCGGTATCGAAGCAGTCGATACCGACGCATCCACCAGACCCGGTTGTGCCCCCGATTAACACACCGGCACCGTCTCAACCTGAATTACTCGAATCATCTCCAGAACCATCCAATGTATCCTCCGATTCAGATGGCCTTTCTGAACATATCGAGGACGGAGATGCACAGCCCACCTCGCAAGATGTGGAAGCGGATTTACCTATTTCTCCATCAGAGGATGTTAAGTCTTATGGAGATTTTATTCAACGCATGGCATTAGATCTATCTATGACTCCTACTCTCGTTGCCAGTTTTGTGGATGATAACGTTTTTGACATTATGCACTCTAACACTTCGCCCTCCGTGGCTCTACCAATGACAAAAGTTCTCTTGCAAACCACCAAGGACTTTTGGACTCGTCCGGCTTCCATTAATGTCTCTAATAAACGTCTGGACCACATGTATAAGATCCAGGAATCAGGGGCTGAGTTTTTATATACACATCCTAAGCCCAATTCTTTGGGCGT